TTTATTTTATTGAAAAATAATTATTTATGTTTTTTTTTTATTATTATTATATATATTTAATATTTTATATAAACATTTTTATTTTTTAATCTGATATTTTAAAAAAATTAAAAATACTGCTAAAATTTGAAAAAAAAAATTAATATTATTTTTTCTAATTTTAAAAAAAAAAAAATATTTATAAATAAGGATTTTTTTTAAATTAATTGAATGATAAAAAATAAAAATATATATTTTTTTAAAAAAATATTTTTATATTATAAATTTAACTATTTTTAAAGAAATATACTTATTATTATTTTATTCAAAAAAAAAAAAAAAAAAAAAAAAAAAATTAATTTTAATATTTAAATATCGAAAAAAAAATTTAATTAAACTTTAAAATAAATATAAAATACCAAAAAAAAAAAAAAACAAAATCTAAATAAATGGAAAAAATTAATATGTAAAAAACTCAAAATTCCGTAAATATAAATTAAGTTCTTTCTTAAAAAAACAAAAATCACGAAATCCTAAAAAATATTTAAACTAAATTATATGGAGATTCCTTCTGGTTAACAAGACTAGGCAATAAAAAAAAAGGACCAAGCCTGTCCTCAAAAAGATGTGGTCACAAATCGATAATATATGAAAAATTCATGTACATATTTAGCGGTTAAAGTAAATACATAGAACTATTAAGTAGTAAAATTCAAATATAAAGATATAACTGTGAAATATATCAATGGGAGAAATTTCAAGTAAACTAAAAAGGAAGTTAACCAGAAGCAAGAGATTCATATTCAGCAAATTTAATAGGAGATAAAGTATGGATTTTTGGGGGTTCAAGCAATGAAATTATATATAATGATTTTTGGACTTATGATATTTAATAAAATGAATGGAATGACGAAACTTAAAGTATTAAAGGAGAATTTATATCACCAAGAGAAAACCATTGCTGTGTAGTATATAAAAATAAAAATTTAGTTATTTTAGGCGGGTTGAATATTGAAACATAATAAATATATTAAGATATGTAATTTTTATAAAAAATATTAAATCTATATAAATATATATATAGGTATATACATTATTATAATAAAAAATATGAATATAATATATAACATATATATTAAAAATACATATATATATATATAAATATATATATATATATTTATATTAATATTTATATTTTTTCGTATATATTTTTAATATATTATAAGGTATTTAATCGATACAGTAATTAAACAATGTATTAAAATTTATGTATAAGAATTGCCTATAAGAGAAGGATATACTGCTAATATAGTTGATAATAAGATTTTTATATTTGGAGGATAAGGGTATAATGATGAATACTTTAATGATTTGTAGGTAATTGATATTGAAAATATTAAAAGAAATCAATAGAGTTTAGTATATAAAGTTAATGTGAATAGCTTTAATATACCTCCGTAAAGATCATCACATTAATCAATAACTTATTAAAATAGATATATATTTATTATAGGAGGTGAATAAGGATTTAATTAAATAAAAAGTAAATTTTATAAATAAATATATATATTTATTATTTTTATATATATATTCTAAATAAATAAATATTTATAATTATTTAAATATTTTTAAATATGTATTTAAATGTATAGAAATATTTATAAATATATATATAAAAATATATAATTTTCATTATATATATATTTATTTATATTTTTATATATATTATTTATTTTTAGATGATGAATGCAAAACACTAGCTTTAAAAGATATTTGGGTTTATGATAGTTTAATGGGTTTTTATAATTAAATATTTCCAAATCATGAAAATTTTTTATCTGCTAGGTTTTGTCATTCTTTATCTTGTTATAAGGATAAGTTAATAATACACGGAGGTATGGATAAAGATAACTAATTATTGGAAGATATTCTTATATTACAACTTAAAGATAAAAATAAAGAATATTTATTAGAAATGAGTTAGAATTGCTTTATATGTTAATCTTTTTTTTGCACAGTTAGAAAAAGTGATAATTAATTAAAAAAATGCCAAGTTTCTTAAAATAATTAAGAATAAAAATTAGCATAATTACCCTTTACAACAAGTTAAGTATCATTAAATTATAAATATGTGTCTAAAAGTATGATAAGGTGTTTAAGCAAATTGATTAAATATCCGTTTTAGGCTGCTTCTTTTATTTTTGATTTTTTATTTAGTTTATTTTATTTGGAAGATTCTGAATAATATTTAAATTATTAACAAATGCTTTATTAGTAATTTTAAAATATTCATTTAAGTTAATAGGAGAATATTTTAAAAGATTAGATAGTCTAAATTATGTGTAATGATCAAGTTTGGAAATTTAAAAATGAATAAATGGGAATTTCTCATACAAATTTTAAAAAATATATTTAAGGGTTTATATATAATAAGAGTTAAAATAATGAAAGTATTCTAGAATAAATTTCGGAAAATTAAATATTTTAAATAAATTAAAGTAATATATTAGAAAAGCTTTCAAATTAAATAAAAGTTATATATATATATATATATAAATATATATGAATATATATATATATATATATATATATATATATATGTAAATATATTTTATATATATTTTAATATTTAATAAAAGATTGCTGGTTGTAAACTAGGTAATAAAATGATAATTTAAACAAAAAAAAATAGTATTTTGAATTTTTGTATGTTTGATTTTTCTTAAAATAATAATAACAATATTAATTAAAGTGACTTTTTATAAAGTTTTTATTATAGTTATAATGAAAATACTTAGTAATTTTTAACTTAAGATGGAGCTTTTATTAAGGAATATATTTTAAAAAATATTGATTAATAATATTATGATTATATATTGAATATATAATAATAATAAGAGTTTACCTAAATTATAGTTTTTAACTAAGAAAATATTAATTAGGAATACTTTTTCAATAAATAAAATAACGATATGAATTTAAACTTAGATTTTTTAAATATTTAAAAAAATGATAATATTTAATAAACTATAGATTTTTCATTTAAAAAATATGCTTAATATTATTATTTATGCCCTCTTAGTAATTAGAAATTATATTTTAATAATGAATTAGTTAATTTTTCTTCGTATAATAAAATTTTGTAAAATAATTTATAGTTAAATCATATAGATTTATCTTGTTTTTAATAATAAATATAATAGATAGGGTTTTTGAATATTTATTAATAAAAATAAAGTATAATTATTTTTAATTTTTTTTTTTTAATTATGTCTATTTTTATTAGATAATTAAGATGATAGTTTATAAGGAATACTTGTTTATTTTGAAAATAAACTTATTTTTAGAGGATTATAATAAGAAGGAATAGGAATTGAATCAATTATTAAATTAAATCATAAAATTTAAAATGGGAAAAAAATGTTCGATTTCTAAGGAATTTTAAATTTGAATTTATTTTTAAAACCTTCAATATTTTAAAATGTAAAATATATATTTTTATTTTATAATTTCATTTATAATATTAATTGTTTCTTTTTTGTTTTTTTATAATTTTTTGTTTCTTTTTTTTTTTTTTACAATTTTTTTTTTTTTACTAGAATATAGAAAATAATGATTTAAATGAAATTTTAAAATCGATTTTACATAAACTAAAAATAAACTTATTAAATTAAAAAAGAAAAAAATTGAATGAATTTAAAGAAATTGAAGAAGGAAGAAAAATAGTTTAAAACAATAATTGATTTTTTTTTTATTTTTTTTTTTTTTTTTAAATAAAAATAAAATAATGTAATTATAAAAAATAAAAAATAATTTTTTTATATATATTAGACA